AGTGAGGTGGAACAGCGGGGTCACTGTCGAACGCAGGTGGGGTTGCCACAACCTGCCATGAGTGTGGCGCAAACAGGTCTCCACACCTTGCGATTGCAGTTGAAAAGGATCTTCGAAGTCAATGTTCGGAGGATGTCTCGAGCGAAAACTGCCGCTTCGGAGATTAGGAGGACAACTTTAGCACGTCGGATCTCAAGTTTACGCATGATCCAGTGTTGCCCCCCCCACCCCCTTCTCCCCCCCAAAGCATATGGGATCGAACCCTCCCCCCGCTGGATGGGTACGCCCGTGAGCCTCGCGAAGGCCTCGCGAATGGGATCGCTCCCCCCCCTCTGTGGTCGGGGCCCTGTGGGCGTGGCGTGGTGGAGGGTGCCCGTGCCCCTCCCCCTGTAGGTGTGGGGTGGTTCGTCGTCGTCGTCGTCGTCGTCCGGCGGTGGCGGCGGCGGTGGCGCCATCGTCGTGGTGGTGGTGGTGGTGGTGGTGGTGGTGGTGGTAGTGGTCGTCGTCTTCGTCGTCGTCGTCGTCGTCGGCGTCGGCGTCGGCGTCGGCGTCGGCGTCGGCGTTCCTCTCCATCCCATCCGGGGGGGGGGTCTGTGGAACCTTGTGACCCATCCCATCTGGGAGGGGGGCTGTGAACCCTCGTCCCAGGATCATGTAAGACGTGGACTTGTTTTGTCTGATAACCATTTCCACGGTTATTCAAAGTCATAAGGTTGCTGGTGGTTTTAGGTTAGCACCTCATCAGTCCATTGTTTTTGGACCCTCTCATCACGGTCTGCGTGGATTGCGCGTCCGATGTTCAAAATTTTGAGGATGTCCCCAGCGAGCCAGTCAGAAGAAAGTTAACTGCTTAACCTAATCGCCTCTGAGCTCGAATCCTCTGGATAGGTGCATCTGATACCATATGTCATGGCCTTCGGCCCATCCCGACACCGTGCCTGGGTTGTGGGCCAGCGGCCTTTAGGATATTGGTTGCGATCTCGTGGCTGGCCTCTCGGTAGCCTCTGGGTCAGCCCATTAGCGGAGCGCGCTCCTCTAATTGGTGCGAAGCAATGGATCTGGTTCGGGGCCCTCTACCAGAGCGCAGCCCCGCTAATGGGAGCGAGGCGCTCAACCCAATTTTGCGGAGCGGCGCCTTGCTCACTGGAGCAGCTGGATGCTGGGCCCCGTAAAGACTCTTCAGGGCAGAGAACTGGGGCTTAGGGGAATGGGCAAAGGACCTGAGGACACGCACACTCCGTGCTCAGAAGTCCGGTGGCGGATAAGTATATAGTGTATGTCTGTATGCATGTATGTGTGTATGTATGGATGCATGCATGTGTGTATGTTCGATTGGTTGCATGCATGTATGTGTATACATAGCTGTCTGTGTATATGTACACGTGTATGTAGATGCTTCAATCTATGTACATGTAGTTGTACATTTATGTTTCTGCGTACGTTTATATATGTGTAGGCAGGTGTGCATATATGTGTAATTGTAATAGTCGATATGTATATGTAAACGGCTATGATTCCATGTTTATGTTGATGCGCATTCATATATTTATCCATCTGTGTGTATATATAGATTTGCAGGTATATGTATATGTATATGTATGTATTATTGTGACTGCGTGTATGCCCATGTATATGTACTTTGCCAGTGATGCGCCTGTGTGTACGTGTAGTGTACATGTCCTTGTCCATGTACATGTATATGCGTGGGTTTGTATATTTGTATCTATATGTGTATGTGTGTATACGTGTATAATTACACGTACGTGCATTTATTTTTTGTTCACGCATATGTTTTTAACATGTATATGCAAACTCACATCTATACATATATATATATATATGCGTTTATGCTTACGTATATGAACATGTGAATGCATTTGCACTTTTGTGTGACTATGTATATGCATTGGTATGTGTATATGCATACACACATACGTATATGCATATGTTAGTTTATATGCTAACGTACATGCAATATCCGTATGCATGTGTATATGTATATGTGCATGTGTGAAACTTCATGGGTAGTTCTATGCATCTGTATTTGTGTACTTATACGTGTTTGTGCATGTCCTTGTTTCTGGACATGTACCTGAATATGTATGTGTCTATGTACGTGTCTATGTACCTACCTATGTAGTTGTGTATATCATGTATGTCGTGTTTGTTATGTTTGTAACAGGTTTAATGTATGTTGCGTAGATGTCAGGTGTACTGCTTGCATGTCTACGCATACGTATTTGCATAGGTAATGTGCAAGTCTATTCATGTGCCTATGTATGTGTATGTGCGTGTACATTTGTAGTACATGTGTGTATATACGCATATGTTCATAGACACGTTTAATTATACGGCTATGTATATATGTTATGCACATGCCAGTTCCATGCTTCTCTATGCATTTTGTTTGTCAATCTGTCCATATCTATGTATATTGTTATGTAGATCTGCGTCTGTACATCTATGTGTACATGTCCATGTGATGTATGCGTATATGCATATGTATGTGTATGTGTATATGTATACGCACCTGTATATGTACATGTATATGTATGTGTAAGTGCATATGTATGTGTACGCGTATGTGTATGAGTGTGTATGTGAATATGTGTAGTCATATGTCTATGTATATGTATATGGATGCGTACATATTTATGTATATGTACATGCAGATGTATATATACATATGCATATCTATATTTCTATATATCTGCGTATGCATATGTATAGGTATGTGTATATGTATATGTATGTATACATATATGTGTATGTACCGTAGATATATCGATATATGTATGTATGTACCTGCATATGCATTTTTGTATGTATATGTATACGTATATGCATGTGCATATGCATATGCACATACACATATGAATTTTCACGTATCGTGTAACTGTATTTGCATATGCCCATGTATGTGTTAATGTCTGTGTACTTGCATACGTGTATGTTCTGGTATAGATATCCGCAGCCAATTTTGTGTATGATTGCGTGTAGATATCGGTGTATGTACGTGCATCTGCACGTTCATATGTAGTTGCACATGCGTACGTTTATGTATCTATTTATGCATATGTTTAAATAAGACTTGTTTGTGATTGAACACGTATATGAATTTCTCGCTGAGCGCACGGCGGCCCCTCGAGCTCGTCGCCAGGAGACCCGTGCTATTGCCCCGTCAGCCCAGTTCACCTCTTCTCATACCCCTCACCCATCGGGGGGCAGTCTGATGCGCTCTGTCAGTCGTCCCTCACTCACTCGAGCCCTGCAGGTACTCGAGTGGCTTCGCTCCCCATGAAAGGGGCATCCGTGGCATCTTCATGGCAAACACACGCACCATCTCTGGAACACTCACGGTCTGTTGTGGTGCACGACATGTGGAGGGTCAGGCTCTCATAAGTTCCTTTCTGACCCTGACTGGGCCCTGTACCAGGCCAACCCGAGCGTGTAAAGCGGCACTTCCCCGCCTCGCGAAGAACGGGCTCCCCCCAAAGCGGCCCTCCTGGCCCGACGCGACCAGGGGTGTGAGCCACCTCTTTTTCGGGGCCCCTTGCCTAATGGAAGAAGACGGCCCCTGTGAGCGCTCCAGGAGGAGGAGGAGGAGGAGGAGGAGGAGGAGGAGGAGGAGGAGGACGAGGAGGAGGAGGAGGAGAGGAGAAGGGTGAGGAGGAGGAGGGAGGAGGAGGAGGAGGAGGAGAGGAGGAGGAGGAGGAGGAGGAGGAGGAGGATGAGGAGGAGGAGGAGGAGGAGGAGGAGGAGCAGGTTGAGGAGGAGGAGGAGGAGGAGGAGGAGGAGGGTGAGGAGGAGGGTGAGGAGGAGGGTGAGGGGAGGTGAGGAAGAGGAGAGGAGGAGGAGGAGGAGGAGGAGGAGGAGGAGGAGGAGGAGGAGGAGGAGGAGGGGAGGAGGAGTAGGAGGGGGAAGAGGAAGAGGAGGAGGAGGAGGTAGGAGGAGGAGGAGGAGGAGGAGGAGGAGGAGGACGATGGTGAGGAGGAGGAGGAGAGGAGGAGGAGGAGGAGGAGGAGGAGGGAGGAGGAAGGAGGGTGAGGTGAGGAGGTGAGGAGGAGGAGGAGGAGGTGGACGAGGGTGAGGGTGAGGAGGAGGTGGAGGGTCAGGAGGAGGAGGAGGGGAGGAGGAGGAGGAGAAGGGTGAAGATGGGGGAGGAGCTGGAGGAGGAGGAGGAGGAGGAGGAGGAGGAGGAGGAGGAGGAGGAGGAGGAGGAGGAGGAGGAGGAGTAGGAGGAGGAGGTGGTGGCGGACGACGACAAAACCTCCCCCTCCCGCGCCCTTCAGGCGGCGCGGCGCGCTGTTGGCAGCGTCAGCGGCCTCCGCGACCCGCCCGCGGGGTGCGCGGGCGAGCGGGCGCCCGCAGGCGGCGCAGCGGCAGGCCTCCCCGCGGAAGGCCTGGCCGTCGCCACCACCTCATGGGCAACGTCAGGGGAGGTGAGAGGCTCGGGTCGGGGGCGGCCAAGAGGCGGGTGATGACCGGGTGGGGGGTGGATATCATGGCGGGGGCCATGGTACCTCCCCAGATTTCATGGTGCCTCTTCTCATTTCAGCGCGTCCCCCCCCCCTTGGCCGCGCACATGCCGCCGGCCATGACTTGCGCGCCTCCCCTCCTGGACGACGCCCTCCCGGCAGCCCCCGACGTCAGGGGAGGCGAGGGGCTCGAGGGGCGCGTCGGCCCTCAGTCGCCCACGCCTCGCTGAGGGGGTAGGAGAGCCCACCCCGCCCAGAGTCAGGAGGGGAAAAATCACACAGACACAGTTCATCGTCGGTTCTCCAGAAAGTATGGGAAAATATGGGAAGTGGGGGGGAAGACAAAACCCCAGAAAATATGGGAAAGTATGGAGAATCCGGTTATTTGTGTCTACTTATTTGTGTGTCCCAGGGCCCACTATTCCCGATCGATCAGCGACGTATCGCCGATTCCAGGTCGATGTTTCCCGCCTGAGCTGCCCCACCCCACCTGGCGTTGCCCTTCATCGCCGCCGCCGTCGTCGCCGAGCCGCCGTCGCCGAGCCGCCGTCGCCGTCGTCCTCGAGGTCCGACTCGAGGGGCGGGGCTCGTGGCTCCCTTTCGCAGCTTCGAACCCTCCGGAGGCTGCCAGAGGGACCCGTCGCTGTCGCCGTTCACTGTCATCGTGGTCGCGCGCGCGGACGTCCTGGCCGTCGCCAGGGTCGCGGGGGCAGGCCTTCCATCGGATGGCCTGGCCGTCGTCGGCGTCTCCGTTGGGGTGCTTCTCATCTGCGCAGAGGCCTCTGGACCTCTGCGCACGGGGCCAGGAGCTCGTTCCTGGGCTGCTCCTCTTCGTCCTCCTTCGTCCAACTCGATCTCGTCTTCCTTGGGCTCATTCTCGTTCCCCTCGTCGTCGCTCACCTTTCCTCTTCACGCCAGCGTGCTCATCATCTACCTCGTCTTCACGTTCGTAGCCATTTCGGCTCAGGGCTCTTGAGCCATAAGTCTCTTGCGGCTTCGCCGTGGACGCAAATTGTTCCAGGCTCTTTTCTAGCCGGTGAACCCTGTCTGCGGCCATGGCAGAGACATTTGCATTCAATGCTGACATTCAGCAGCTCATGAGCTTGATCATCAACACCTTCTACTCCAACAAGGAGATCTTTCTGCGCGAGCTCATCTCCAATGCGTCAGATGCCTTGGACAAGATCCGGTACGAGTCCATCACGGATCCCGACAAGATTGAGGCCCAGCCGAATTTTTATATCAAGATCGTCCCCGACAAGACCAACTCCACCATCACGATCGAGGACTCTGGCATCGGCATGACCAAGAACGAGTTGATCAACAACCTCGGCACCATAGCCAAGTCAGGCACCAAGGCCTTCATGGAGGCAATGGCGGCCGGCGGCGACATCTCCATGATCGGGCAGTTCGGAGTTGGCTTCTATTCTGCGTACCTCGTCTCGGACAAGGTGCGCGTGATCAGCAAGAACAACGACGACGAGCAGTACATCTGGGAGTCCGGGGCTGGCGGCTCCTTCACGGTGCAGAAGGACACGGAGATGGTGCACGGGGAGATCAAGCGCGGCACTAAAATCATTTGCTATTTGAAGGAGGACCAGTCGGAATTCCTGGAGGAGCGCCGCCTGAAGGATCTGGTCAAGAAGCACTCGGAGTTCATCGGGTTCCCAATTGAGTTGTACGTGGAGAAGTCCAAGGAGAAGGAGGTTACGGATTCCGAGGACGAGGAGGAGGAGAAGAAGGACGAGAAAGAGGGCGATGAGCCGAAGATCGAGGAGGTCGACGAGGAGAAAGAGAAGGAAGAGAAGAAGAAGAAGACAAAGAAGGTCAAGGAGGTATCCCACGAGTGGGAGCAGCTTAACAAGAACAAGCCGCTGTGGATGCGCAAGTCCGAGGATGTGACCAACGAGGAGTACGCCTCGTTCTACAAGTCCCTGTCCAACGACTGGGAGGACCACCTGGCCGTGAAGCACTTCAGTGTTGAGGGCCAGCTGGAGTTCCGCGCGCTGCTCTTCGTGCCGCGCCGGGCACCTTTCGACCTGTTTGAATCCAAGAAGAAACGCAACAACATCAAGCTGTATGTGCGACGGGTCTTTATCATGGACGACTGCGACGAGCTTATGCCCGAGTGGCTCAACTTCGTGAAGGGCGTGGTTGACTCCGAGGACCTGCCGCTGAACATCTCCCGCGAGACGCTGCAGCAGAACAAGATCCTGCGCGTGATCAAGAAGAACCTCGTCAAGAAGTGCCTCGAGATGTTCGCGGAGATCGCCGAGAAGAAGGATGACTACAAGAAGTTCTATGAGCAGTTCGGTAAGTGCCTCAAGCTGGGCGTCCACGAGGACTCTACCAACCGCACCAAGGTCGCGGAGCTAATGCGCTACCACACCTCGAAGTCCGGAGATGAGATGATCAGCCTGAAGGAGTATGTGGACCGCATGAAGGAGGGGCAGAATGACATTTACTACATCACGGGGGAGAGCATCGCAGCCGTGTCCTCCTCGCCTTTCTTGGAAACGTTGCGCAAGAAGGGCCTTGAGGTTCTCTACATGACCGATCCCATCGATGAGTACTCCGTGCAGCAGCTCAAGGAGTTTGACGGCAAGAAGCTCAAGTCGACGACCAAGGAGGGCTTGGACCTCGAGGACGAGGACGAGAAGAAGAAACTGGAGGAGCTGAAGGCAGAGTTCGAGCCGCTGACCAAGCTTATGAAGGAGGTTCTGGGCGACAAGGTGGAGAAGGTGGTGGTCAGTTCGCGCATGGCGGACTCGCCCTGTGTGCTGACGACCTCAGAGTACGGCTGGTCCGCGAACATGGAGCGCATTATGAAGGCGCAGGCCCTCAGGGATAACTCTATGACCTCCTACATGGTGTCCAAGAAGACCATGGAGGTCAACCCCAAGCACTCCATCATGTCTGAGCTCAAAAAGAAGGCCTCTGCCGACAAGTCGGACAAGACGGTCAAGGACTTGATCTGGCTTCTGTTCGACACATCCTTGCTCACCTCTGGCTTCAACCTGGACGAGCCCACACAGTTCGCAGGGCGCATCCACCGCATGATCAAGCTTGGCCTTAGCATTGACGATGACGACGAGGGCCTGGGGGACGACGAGGACCTGCCCCCCCTCGAGGAAGTCGAGGGCGCCGCAGACGAGGCATCGAAGATGGAAGAGGTCGACTAGGAGCTGCCAGACTCCTCAGTAATGCCCGCCCCCTGTGGCAATCCGCGCGATCAGCTCTGCTGAGCCGGCGGCGCTGTCTGCAGCCCCGGTGCCGCATGTCTGCTCCGACGTCATACGTACAGCTATGATGTCAGACCAGTGCAGCATAGACCATGTACCACCATAGACGCGCACTGGCGCGCCGCCATCGTGGGATCCACGAAACGACTCACCTACCTAGTCTCCCCCATCCTCATATTCGACGCTTCCCCCTCAGCGGGGTTCCATCTCGGCCGCCGGGCGGGCCGCAAGAGATGTTCCGCAAGAGCGGGCTCCGCGGGGTCCAGCGCCCCGCGCGCAGAGAACATCAGGGCATCGGTGGGGGCCCACCTCCAGTCACGAGAGGCCGTAAGCAAGGAAGCGTTCGGCCACAGGTCGGGTTTAGCTGCCACCCCTCTCCCTTCTTCCCTCCCCTCTTCCCCTCTCCTCAGTTATTCCCCTCCGTGCCGTCCTCTCCCCTCCGCTTTCCTCCCCTCTTCTGGAGGAGGAGGAGGAGGAGGAGGAGGAGGAGGAGGAGGAGGTGCCAGATCGAGCGTGGGCACCCGTGCTTGAAGCGTGCCTCCAGGGAACTTGGACCGCTGCCAACTTGCGGTTGTGGCATCCCGGCAGGCTGCGCGCTGGAGCCCAAGCCCAGACATGGCCTGGATCCTCCCTCCTTTCTCCCTTGAGTCCGCCGCGCGTGTGCTTGGGAGACCCGCCTCCGCGAAGCTACCTTCGTGAGCAGCGTCGCGCGGCATCGTGAGGCACGCTCCGACTTGGCCAAGACCCACGTGTACAGTTCCCGTCCACCACCACTCTCCTCCACCACACGTGAGGGGTGGCCTGGTCCGCCCACGGGCCAGGCGGAGAGCCTCGAGCAGGTTCCTCTGGGACCCAACCCTCAACTCAGTAGTCTTCCCTTCACGGTGCACCCTGGTCGCCTCACTGTCCGCTCCGAGGTCCAGAAGCCCCGATCCTTGATCCTGGACCCTTCCCCCTCTCTACCTGCTGACGGTGGGCGCAAGACGTCTGTTAGCGTTGGCCCGTAGGTTCTTGAACCACCCAACTGGCGCTTGGGCTCTTGCGACTCGGGCCGAGAAGTACAGGGGAAGTCCAGCAGAATCCTCGATCCGCGACCCTCGACGCTTCCCTCGGTTGCAGCTCCTGGGTCGTTACAATTCAGCTGTTTTGGCTGTCATGTCCGGGGTCGAAAGCCGTCCAATTCGGGCCTGATCCCGCTTAATCCAACTCCATGCCGCGTGATCCGGCCTGATCCTGGGCTTGATCTGGCTTCGTCTGGCCCAGTGGCCCATTCTTCGGGATCCTTCCCACGACCTCCCAGGAGTTGCCCCCCTGACCCTCCCCCCCCCCCTTCCCCTCTCCAGGACTGCTGCTCGCACGCTGCTCAGCCCCTCTCTGCCTCTGACCTGCTGGACCGCCGTGTCTCCGTCTGGGCCGGACCGCTGCCCGCGCTCCCCCCCTCCTCCTCCTCCTCCTCCTCCTCCTCCTCTCCTCCTCCCCTCCTCCCTCCCTCCTCCTCCTCCTCCTCCTCGCTCTCTCCTCCTCCTCCTCCTCCTCCTCCTCCTCCTCCTCCTCCTCCTCCTCCTCTCCTCCCTCCCCCTCCTCCTCCTCCTCCTCCTCCTCCCCCCCAGGTCCGCCGCACCCGCAGGGGGGAGCCGATCATCTACCTCGTCTTTAAATTCTTAGCCATTTCGGCTCAGGGCTCAAGCCATTATTCACTTGCGGCTTCGCCGTCAGCGCAAACTGGGTGAACCCTGTCTGCGGCCATGGCAGAGACATTCGCATTCAATGCTGACATTCAGCAGCTCATGAGCTTGATCATCAACACCTTCTACTCCAACAAGGAGATCTTTCTGCGCGAGCTCATCTCCAATGCGTCAGATGCCTTGGACAAGATCCGGTACGAGTCCATCACGGATCCCGACAAGATTGAGGCCCAACCGAATTTTTATATCAAGATCGTCCCCGACAAGACCAACTCCACCATCACGATCGAGGACTCTGGCATCGGCATGACCAAGAACGAATTGATCAACAACCTCGGCACCATAGCCAAGTCAGGCACCAAGGCCTTCATGGAGGCAATGGCGGCCGGCGGCGACATCTCCATGATCGGGCAGTTCGGAGTTGGCTTCTATTCTGCGTACCTCGTCTCGGACAAGGTGCGCGTGATCAGCAAGAACAACGACGACGAGCAGTACATCTGGGAGTCCGGGGCTGGCGGCTCCTTCACGGTGCAGAAGGACACGGAGATGGTGCACGGGGAGATCAAGCGCGGCACTAAAATCATCTGCTATTTGAAGGAGGACCAGTCGGAATTCCTGGAGGAGCGCCGCCTGAAGGATCTGGTCAAGAAGCACTCGGAGTTCATCGGGTTCCCAATTGAGTTGTACGTGGAGAAGTCCAAGGAGAAGGAGGTTACGGATTCCGAGGACGAGGAGGAGGAGAAGAAGGACGAGAAAGAGGCGATGAGCCGAAGATCGAGGAGGTCGACGAGGAGAAAGAGAAGGAGGAGAAAAAGAAAAAGACAAAGAAGGTCAAGGAGGTATCCCACGAGTGGGAGCAGCTTAACAAGAACAAGCCGCTGTGGATGCGCAAGTCCGAGGATGTGACCAACGAGGAGTACGCCTCGTTCTACAAGTCCCTGTCCAACGACTGGGAGGACCACCTGGCCGTGAAGCACTTCAGTGTTGAGGGCCAGCTGGAGTTCCGCGCGCTGCTCTTCGTGCCGCGCCGGGCACCTTTCGACCTGTTTGAATCCAAGAAGAAACGCAACAACATCAAGCTGTATGTGCGGCGGGTCTTTATCATGGACGACTGCGACGAGCTTATGCCCGAGTGGCTCAACTTCGTGAAGGGCGTGGTTGACTCCGAGGACCTGCCGCTGAACATCTCCCGCGAGACGCTGCAGCAGAACAAGATCCTGCGCGTGATCAAGAAGAACCTCGTCAAGAAGTGCCTCGAGATGTTCGCGGAGATCGCCGAGAAGAAGGATGACTACAAGAAATTCTATGAGCAGTTCGGTAAGTGCCTCAAGCTGGGCGTCCACGAGGACTCTACCAACCGCACCAAGGTCGCGGAGCTAATGCGCTACCACACCTCGAAGTCCGGAGATGAGATGATCAGCCTGAAGGAGTATGTGGACCGCATGAAGGAGGGGCAGAATGACATTTACTACATCACGGGGGAGAGCATCGCAGCGGTGTCCTCCTCGCCTTTCTTGGAAACGTTGCGCAAGAAGGGCCTTGAGGTTCTCTACATGACCGATCCCATCGATGAGTACTCCGTGCAGCAGCTCAAGGAGTTTGACGGCAAGAAGCTCAAGTCGACGACCAAGGAGGGCTTGGACCTCGAGGACGAGGACGAGAAGAAGAAACTGGAGGAGCTGAAGGCAGAGTTCGAGCCGCTGACCAAGCTTATGAAGGAGGTTCTGGGCGACAAGGTGGAGAAGGTGGTGGTCAGTTCGCGCATGGCGGACTCGCCCTGTGTGCTGACGACCTCAGAGTACGGCTGGTCCGCGAACATGGAGCGCATTATGAAGGCGCAGGCCCTCAGGGATAACTCGATGACCTCCTACATGGTGTCCAAGAAGACCATGGAGGTCAACCCCAAGCACTCCATCATGTCTGAGCTCAAAAAGAAAGCCTCTGCCGACAAGTCGGACAAGACGGTCAAGGACTTGATCTGGCTTCTGTTCGACACATCCTTGCTCACCTCTGGCTTCAACCTGGACGAGCCCACACAGTTCGCAGGGCGCATCCACCGCATGATCAAGCTTGGCCTTAGCATTGACGATGACGACGAGGGCCTGGGGGACGACGAGGACCTGCCCCCCCTCGAGGAAGTCGAGGGCGCCGCAGACGAGGCATCGAAGATGGAAGAGGTCGACTAGGAGCTGCCAGACTCCCCAGTAATGCCCGCCCCCTGTGGCAATCCGCGCGATCAGCTCTGCTGAGCCGGCGGCACTGTCTGCAGCCGCGGTGCCGCATTTCTGCTCCGACGTCATACGTACAGCTATGATGTCAGACCAGTGCAGCATAGACCATGTACCACCATAGACGCGCACTGGCGCGCCGCCATTGTGGGATCCACGAAACGACTCACCTACCTAGTCGCCCCCATCCTCATATTCAACGCTTCCCCCTCTGCGGGGTTCCGTCTCGGCCGCCAGGCGGGCCGCAAGAGATGTTCCGCAAGAGCGGGCTCCGGGGGGTCCAGCGCCCCGCGCGCAGAGTCCATCAGGGCATCGGTGGGGGCCCACCTCCAGTCACGAGAGGCCGTAAGCAAGGAAGCGTTCGGCCACAGGTCGGGTTTAGCTGCCACCCCTCTCCCTTCTTCCCTCCCCTCCTCCCCTCTCCTCAGTTATTCCCCTCCGTGCCGTCCTCTCCCCTCCGCTTTCCTCCCCTCTCCTGGAGGAGGAGCAGGAGGAGCAGGATGAGGAGGAGGAGGAGGAGGAGGAGGAGGAGGAGGTGCCAGATCGAGCGTGGGCACCCGTGCTTGAAGCGTGCCTCCAGGGAGCTTGGACCGCTGCCAACTTGCGGTTGTGGCATCCTGGCAGGCTGCGCGCTGGAGTCCAAGCCCAGACATGGCCTGGATCCTCCCTCCTTTCTCCCTTGAGTCCGCCGCGCGTGTGCTTGGGAGACCCGCCTCCGCGAAGCTACCTTCGTGAGCAGCGTCGCGCGGCATCGTGAGGCACGCTCCGACTTGGCCAAGACCCACGTGTACAGTTCCCGTCCACCACCACTCTCCTCCACCACACGTGAGGGGTGGCCTGGTCCGCCCACGGGCCAGGCGGAGAGCCTCGAGCAGGTTCCTCTGGGACCCAACCCTCAACCCAGTAGTCTTCCCTTCACGGTGCACCCTGGTCGCCTCACTGTCCGCTCCGAGGTCCAGAAGCCCCGATCCTTGATCCTGGACTCCGACCCTTCCCCCTCTCTACCTGCTGACGGTGGGCGCAAGACGTCTGTTAGCGTTGGCCCGTAGGTTCTTGAACCACCCAACTGGCGCCTGGGCTCTTGCGACTCGGGCCGAGAGCTAGAGGGGAAGTCCAGCAGAATCCTCGATCCGCGACCCTCGACGCTTCCCTCGGTTGCAACTCCTGGGTCGTTACAATTCAGCTGTTTTGGCTGTCATGTCCGTGGTCGAAAGCCGTCCAATTCGGGCCTGATCCCGCTTAATCCGACTCCATCCCGCGTGATCCGGCCTGATCCTGGGCTTGATCTGGCTTCGTCTGGCCCAGTGACCCTTTCTTCGGGATCGTTCCCACGACCTCCCCAGAGTTGGCCCCACTCCTGACGCTTCCCCCTCACCCCATCCCCCCCCTCCCATCCCCCCCC